TCGGGCCAAAGGCGAGCTTCTAACCGAAAATGCCGCGAGGAAACATCGGAGTTTTCGCGCGCCTCCATCATCATAAATCCAACTGACAAATCAACGCGAATCAAGTTCGAAGGAGAAAGGAAAGGGATTTGCAACGCGAGCGTTTAGACCGATTTATAAGTCGACTGTCGAATCGCGTGGACACGCCTGTTTCGTGCCAGGGCTGCCGATTTGCCATTCGAGCGGGCTCTCGAACGCGATCCCTATTTATTCAAGAACGTTTCAACACCTCCGAGCTACTTAAGAGACTCTCCGAGAAGTCGACGTGGATCCCGAGGGGGCCGGATCGACCCCGTTGGATAGAAATAAATTTTCGATGGAGAAATTGCGAGGTAGAAATTCGAGTTCGGGCAGAGGATGACGCGCGAGTAGCGCAACGTTTTTCTTGGCGTGCAGCGGGAGAGAGAGACGGGACGATATGGGAGAGAGCGACGGATATAATAAGGGAGGGAATCACGTATTCTTACGAGAGAATTTTCATCATGAGGCTTTATTGGTCTATAAAAAAGCGTGATAAAAAATTTACCACGGACAAGAATGGAATTATCCGTTATTACCGGGAAATTGATAACATTTACGCACACGTATTGACAAAATAGAGAGCAATAACAGGATGGAGTGGGGATCGAATTTTTCTTCGTTCAAAGACGAAGACACAACGCAAGAAGCATGGAAGAAAATTGAAAAGGAGTAAGCATCGTAAAAATAACGGAATAACGTTTCCAACGGCAATTGAGTCGTTCGAAACTAAATCCCAAAATCTGCCGAGAATCTACTTAATAAGCTTCCACAGAATTGAAAAGATCGTAAGAACTCTCGGGGAAAATCGGCCGAAAAATTCTCTCCGTCAAAGCAGCAAGAGCTCTCAAGCTCGAAAAAAAAGGGGATCACCGTGAAAAGCAAAACAAAAGCAAAAGAGAAAAAGGGAAAAAAGGGAAGTCGAAAAACAACAAGCTAGAGGAAAAAGAGAGAAAAACTAGGGAGGGGGGAGGGAAAGAGAGGGACAGAGGGAGGACAGAGGCAGGAAAATAAAAATGATTACGTAGCCGCGGCGGTGAACGTACGTGCGCTGCGTGACACCGGGACGCGGTGTGCACGCGTGTGTACGCGTCCGGCGTTTATGCTCGTACGGATATTGGCCGTGGCGGGGGTGGAGAGCGGCGGCGAAATGTCCGCGAGGGGTGGAGAGGATGGCCGAGGAGCCAAGGGATGGGATGGTGTCGCGGGAGCGTACGGCGCGCCGCCGTTACCGCGATGTTTTGTAATTTAAATTAATTGAAAAATATGCACTGTGTGTGTTGTCCGATCGCGCTCGTGTCGCCCCGGCCCGAAACCGGGAATGAGACCTGTGTGCGGCGGCGGTGGCAGCGGAGAAAGAACAAAAAAGAGAGAGAGAGAGAGAGAGAGCGGCCCCGCGTCGACGAGGATCGAGAAAGCCTAGTTCGGACGCGAGCGAGCGAGCGAGCAAGGGGTACGCGCCGCGCGTGTATGCAGAAAGAGGAACGGAGAGACGGAGAAACGCGCGGCCGATTCATCCTCCGACCTGCATCGCGGAATCGGGAGGCGTGCAGGTATACACGCGTGGCCAATCATTCGCGGCAGCCCGGCCAATAACTTATTGGTTTTTCACGTACGATTTGATTCATTATCATTCCGTTATTTATATTTGCCCGGCCTGCTGCCGGGATTTCACGGATTTCGCGGATTTTGTGACGCCGAGCGGGCGAGAGAGGGTGGTTGGGTGGATGCGTCGCAAGCCGGCGGTGTCGCTCGGGGGGATGAGGCAAAAAAAAAAAAAAAAAAAAAAAAAGGAATGAAAAAAACAGAGGGTGTACACATCGGAATACATGTGCGTCACGCCAGGGCAATCGTGCACCTCCGATGTTTTTCGCGCGCGAATTTGAGCCCTGTGATTCGGGTTGCTTTTTGCCAGCGGGAGGACAGGTGTTTGTCCTTGGTTTCCCGGGTGAGTTACCAAGGAATCTTTGGAAAGTTGCTAAGTTGGTCAGGTGCGAAGACGAGTGCAATGGTTGTTGTCGAAGGCTTCTGCGATAGTGTGTTTATTAATGTTTCGAGGACTCGTTGCGGGAGATTCCGTTCGATGTGAGTTTTCGAATTACGGTAATAATTCGGCCGAGGGCTAAAAGAGCTTCGAGTTCGTTTGCGATACGCTCCTGTTCGGGTTTACAACACGATTAAAAAATCCAAACATGTAACACTTTCTAACCAAGCTTCAGGCCGAGTTGTTCAACCTACACCGTTCTGTTGTTTGAACATATGTACGTGTTTCCGCCGAGAAAGAAAGAGTTCTCGGTAGATACGTTACTCCTGGTAAGAGTATCGTGAGTCACCAGTCTAATTCGAAAGTTACTACATCCGCATTTGCCGGATTTTTCTCAATGAAGCGAGCACTTGAACTGTACTTTCGTTATTCCATTCGTCGTCCCGGTTAAATCTCTCCATCCATAAACGGTGCTACCAGCGTTCGGAGTGTTTAGCCATGGAGTGCGAAAGAGCGTTAAACAGCGTGTTTGTTGGCCCGCGCTTTTTACTTCGGCGAACTTCTCGAGTTACGGCTTCTTGTTTCGTCTAAGACTTGCGAGACCCCCTTATAAATATTCATCGGTTCGCTTTCAAGCGGCAATTGTTTCCAGCGTATATAATTTCGCGATTTATGGACAGGGTCGAATTACTGAAAGGGGCCCACTGTTGCTCTCGTTCTCGCTCTCCTCCTGATAATGCTAGTCATTCACCACCGTTGGATCCATCCCATATGTGGATCTCGCACGGTCTCCTTTTCTCCTGTCTGCCGCTTATTATTCTTCCGCGCGGCGGATTTCTTTGACACTCAAGCCGGAACGTGAAAATTGCAAAAGCTACGTTTCATCCTCTTTGATATTACGTTCACACGGGCGTAGTGGTGTGTAATTCTGGCGTAGTAATTATTAATCTGTACGTATTTCGTGAGAAGTGACGCTGATGTAAAGACAGAGCAATAGTACTGTGAAGGTATTCCAATTAGAAGTGGATGGGTCGATCTTGTATAAAACAAAGTAATGTCGAAGTAATTGCGGTTGTATGGCGAATAAGGCAGCTCGTTTTCTAGATCTTATACGACCGAGCTTCTCTTTATAGACACGTTACAACTCAACTCGAGTATGTAAAGTCATTTTCCTCTTGAATATATTTCTTTTCGCCGTCGTCATGATTCTTACAAAGAAATCTCTGATCTTTAAAAGTCACGTTTTTCCATTGTGTTACGTTGCTTTCATTGACGAGTAAATATCTCGGAGAATTGAAATTAAAAGAAGAAAAAAAATTGTTCTCTAAAAAAAAAAAAAAAAA